GAATGGTATTCAAATCTTCACATCGACCTTAAGTTCACATCAGTTACTCACCCTTAGTCCAACGAGTAGGTCGAAGATGCAAATAAAATAATATTAGAAGCTCTAAAAAAAAGGCTCAACGTGGTAAAAAAAAATGCCAATGAGTTATCGGGAGTTTTGTGGGCCTTGAGAATGAACATGAAGGTGTCCACTGGTGAAACCCCTTATCACTTAGCATTTGGAATAGAGATCATAATATCGGTTGAGATTAGCCTACTGAGCTTAACAGGTGAATTAGCATCAGAAGAAAAAAAATGAAAAGGCATTTAGGGTTGACCTCAACCTCATCGAAAAACAAAGAGATATAGCCCTAACATGGATCACCACCTACCAGTAAAAGGTAGCCAACTATTATAATTAGAGGGTTCACTGCAAGCACATCAGGAAGGGTGACCTAGTACTTAAAGAAGTTAAAGTTTTAGGGGTAAATAATCGAGGCGACAAATTGGCTCCTACATAGAATGACCATATATAGTTAAAGAGGTCATTCACGATGCGACCTACAAATTACAAGATTTAAATGATGACATCATCCCAAGGATATGGAATGCAGATAACTTAAAGATTTATTATCAGTAACTCAGTATAAACTGAGCTCATACTTGCATTATTTTGTGAATGACACTGCCATCTCAAAAATGTGAAATGCAAATCAAGTCTATTACCAGTAGATTGATTCAAACTCAACTCAAACTTGTATTATTTTTTATGTGAATACATGAATTGAATTATCTTCGATAAGCTTGCGTTTAAGTGATTTGAAGAATTTTAACCAAGAACTTGTAATTATGTTTATCTTATTTAAATAGCTATGTAAGTTTTCAATCAATTATCCACCTTTAGATCAGTTAACTATTCTCAAACTTGAGCAAATAAGAAAGAAATAATGGTAAATTCGAGGTAAAACTTGAAAAAATTTTCCTTTCTATTTCATTGTAACAAAATACATCAATTAAAATATGGGATGTCATTACAAAAAATTGAGCTCACACCAAAAAATTTTATAAAGTCAAAAATAAAAAATTACAGAATTCATTTATTAATAGTAGCAGTGGTAGGAGAAGCATGTTTATCAACAAGAGCAAAAGGGATGACCTTACCTTTAATGACCTCCATATCTTCTTCCTTGATCCCTATGATGGCCCTCAACTTGCCTTTAAATGCTTCATTTTCATCTTTCACATCCTCTTTAGGCTGATTTAAAAATGACCTCGATTCGATATTGTTGATGTCAATGTCAAAAAGGTTAAAGTTGAGAAAGGATAATTTGAATTGTATTTCGTCTTTGGCCAACTGGAAGGTACCAAATACATTTTTTCTTGAAAACTCTACGTTTACCGAAAGACATTCATCGGAGGTCCTGTACTCCTTTACAGCCTTCACCTTTAACTCTTTCTTCTTATCCTAGGCTTTCAACTTAGACTTTAGCCTTGTGATTTTGGCTTAAGCATCATTAAGCTTTAACTCAACCTATTCTTTCATAGATTCGATTGAGGCCTTGTCAATTGAGATAGCTTTCAGCTTCACTGTCAGTTTGTCCACCCTTTTCTTTAGCTCAACCTCTTTTTTGTGAGGGCATGCTGAGACTTAACTTAACATTGCCCAATGCCTCTAAGCTTTTTTTGTACTCCTTAACAAAGGCAGCCTTATGTTTCTCAACCTTCAGCATATACCTCAAGGTAAAATAACATGATGGAAAGCCTGACTACTGTTCTCCACAAGTTGAGGTGAAAACTTCTTTTGGATTGCATGGAAAGACCTTAGACTTAAAAAAATAAAAACAATAACAATAACAAGAAATTAAGCTAAGGTTAGGAAATACTTACCAAAAAGAGGAATTGTGACCTTATAGAACCTCTTAGCAATGTCGAGGTTAAAGATGGGATCATCTGTTGGAACATACTCCAACCTCACGAATATTCTCTCTAAGCTAGGCCTTAGCACCCTAGCTTTGGTGTTCTCAAGAGCAAAGGAAAACGTCTCCACCCATGGTCTTTTGGTTGGAAGGAGTGGTGTTAGCACCCATGTGAAGGATAGGCCCTGACTTGCCTTAGTCTTTGACTTTTGACCTAGGTGAAGACGAGGCATAAAAGTGCTAACCACCTTGTCCCCCTCATGGGACAAGGCCTTGAGCTAGATCTTTTTTTAGTCCCTTTTGGTCCTCAAGGCATGTTGATACTATGAAACATCTAGGTTGTCGCTATCTATCATCTCTACAAAATTGACCTAACAATTAGAAAAAAAAAATTAACTTAAAATAAAACCCTACAAAGGTTATTACAAACCTACTTCAATACTTCATCCTATTTATTACTTCTTGAGAGGTCAACCTGTGAGCATCGATAATGAGTTCCACTCTACGTGTAAAATCTAAAATCTTATCCTGATTTGATAGATCAAAGATGGAGAGGGCTATAGACACGTCCACAAAGGAACTGAGTGTACTCTTTATTTTTCAAGCCTTAACTTCGAGCTCACAATCTTTATTTGCTTTTCACTTTTTAAGGCATAGGAAGAGCAGCTTTCAATTCTTTATTGAGCTCGAGCAATCAGTGAGAAGTTTTTTATTTGGTTGAACTATGATATAAAGTAACCTACAATCATTATGATATTTTTTAAGAAATAAGAACTCCCTGAATAGAAGGAGAGAATGAAGAATATTTAGTTGTTGACAAAGAATAATAAAACTATATACCGAATAGAATTTGGGGTGAGCTGAGTGTGGTTAAATTGTATGAATTAAAAATTAAAATGAATAAAAGATGAAGTCAAAACCTTAGACTAGCCACGAACGAATCCCAATATATTTAAAGTCGATGTGGCTCCAGTCTATCGATGACCCGATCTGAGGAGTTCGATATTATTATATTGTACCCTTTTTTTAAAAAAATAGTGCCCAAAACATGAATGTAATGTGCCAAGCACATGTTAGGATAGTTTTCTGGATTTACCTTGTATATTAGCTCGCTCATCATGTCTTTGAAAATCACGTCAAGGTCATACGGAGTATATATAGGAACCTCAATGAGTTTGTCTTGCACATAAGACTTTATCCCTCGTCATCACTTTCTCTAACTGAGGTGCTCCCTTTCTTTTGTTCTTTCTTAAAACCTCTATCATCAAAAGAATCTAATTCTTGGGTGGGAGATGAATTTCAAGGAAAAATAGTGGATGAAAGTAGCACGATCCCGAAGAAAGAAAGATAAGGTGAAGACCTTTCAGGAAAGGACAAGATGTCCAAAAAAATTGATTGAGAGGGGAAAGTAAAAGTGGTAAAAGGTGGAGGAGATCGAGCCCTAAAAGAAGGAATAACTGAAGAGGAAGGAAGGTTGGTTATAAAAGATAAAAAAACATGAAAGACGAAAAAAGCAGGTGGATGTTGAAGTTTAAAGTCAATCTAAGTACACAACTCTTCCATGCTTAAAATTCGCTTGCTTTTTGCTTGAGCATTCTCTTCATTGCGCTGCTGCCCTTTTTCAAACATTGGGTTAAAATAATAAGCCGTCTTTGTTTGGTTATAGCTCCCAATAATATGAGGGATCAGGTCATCATCTTACTGTTGTCGCTATCCTACCCTTGGCTTTACCTTAGAACTCTCAGCCTCTCTAAAACTTGTACTAGAGGATATGGTTAGTAATACGTACAAAAGTAGGTGTAGAAAAAACTTTGAAAGCTAGAAAGTTGTGGTCGAAAATTTTAGGTTAGATGGAGAGCAAAGAAAACAAAAGGTAGAAAACTGAAGCCCTACTAGTCCTTTATATAAACGCATTACATACTAGATTGATGACACGTTTTGTGCCATGTGTTAGAGCATGGATGGGAAGATGTCTTTTTGTCTTTTTGCTTTAAATATTCTGCTCAAACTACCTCTCTCTTCATTTAATGCTATTAGATTGGCCTAACTAGATGAACCACCAAGTTAGATCATCTAAACCAAACAACAATTAGGGGTAAATCGAAAGCCCGATTCACCTCTAAGGTCTAAAATAAAGCTCAAATCCAAATTTTTTTAAAAAATACAAGTCTTACCATGGCCAGACGAACTCCAGCACTAATTTAGAATTACCCCAGATAATTATCGCATTGATGACCTTTAAACCAATTATGCACTCAATCCAGAAGGCACGCGCGAGATCGAATAACTGCCAAGTTGGATTGTGGCTCAAAGCCAATCATCGTTCAAAATCGATGTCCCCTTACAATGTCCACCTTTCGACGAACTATGCAACAAATCTGTCCCACACTGGGGACATTGGTAATAAATTTGATGATCTGATACTTAAACCCCCTAATAAGGAAAAAGTGTTAAGGGCATTTGATGGTTAAAAGGGCATAATGGTCTTTTTCCCTCTCAAAGCCTTCAGTAGATAACAAATGGTATTTTTGTTATTTGTACCGACTTGATATATTAGGTCAGCCTAACATAGTCAGTATCACCTTAGCTTGGCCCTGTTCTAAATGTCCCCTTATAGTCTCCCTCAACTTACCTATAAATATGAAGACTAAGGCACTATGAAGGTAGGTTTATTCCATTCACTTCTCTCTTTCATTCCTATTATCTTATCAACCTGATTTTTATTGATTTACACGTCAAAGTGCAAATATAGATAACACCCCCTATCTTTGCCTTTAACCGTCTTTTTTTTTCCATATTTACAAGAACATCTTCAAGTCGGAGCTCGGCACAAAAAATTGGATTCGTAAATGAAACCTAAATTATTGAAAATGTGACTTTAAAAATTTATACATGTATTTTATAGGGATTTGAAATGCTTTAAATACATCATTAATTTTTTTTAATTATACTAACCTTCATCATTAATTTTTTTTTAATTATATTAACCTTTTGACTAAGGTGGGAAAGGAAAAGAAAACAAAATTATGAACCAGCACTCTATAAATAGTACATCATCCATGACACTTCGCTATAAACAAATTCTTTCTCTCTACATATGCTCAATTAATCCACTGAAAATAGCAAACACAGATACACAATTGAAGTGTAAGGAAATTAGATCCCCTTTCTACAAATCTCAAGTGAAAATTTCAACATGCAATTTGGGGATCAAACTTCTCGAAGGAAGAGAAACATCAAGTGCTGGGCATGTATAGTTGCCGGTGTCATAGCACAGACCATAATCATTTTGCTCTTCGTCCTGCTGGTAATGCGTATTCGAAATCCCAAGGTTCGTTTGGAAGGGGTCATTGTAGAAAATGTCAAACTCGATTCTTCACCTTCCAAACCCTCTTTCACCATGAAACTTAATGCTCAAGTTGCTGTCAAGAACACCAATTTCGGTCACTTCAAATTCAAGAACAGCACTTTCACAGTTTCTTACAAGGGCACTCCTGTTGGTGAGGCTACGATTGTTAAGGCTCGTGCCAGGGCTCGATCGACCAAGAAGTTTAATGTGACGGTATTAGTGAGTTCAAACAATAAGATATTGAGAGATTCAAACCAGATAAGTTCTGATATTGATTCTGGGATCATAAATTTGAGCAGCCATGCCAAGCTGGAAGGAAAGATACATTTGTTCAGGATATTCAAGAAAAAGAAATCAGCCGAAATGAATTGCACCATGGACGTTAACACCACGTTGAAACAAATCCAGAATTTGACATGCAAATGATGAGGTGCAATCAAATTGTTCAATTTAATTTTTCTAATTATTTTCCGTTTAATTTTCTGATCAAAATGGCTTTGAACTTTTTACTGATTTGTTTTCTGTGTGAAGCTACATTGTAAGACAATGAACATTGCACTGTATTTGCTATTTCTTTAGTTTGTAGTCTTGTATGTTCGAATTAATTAATTTTTGGGGTTTCAAATTGGTATCCTTTGGTCGCATTCTTTACTTCAAGACGAGTCTTCCTTTGATACTTCAAGAATCAAGATGAGTACATTTCAAACTTTGGATCGAACTTTTCCTGTTTTATGCTTTGCTTCCACTTTCAATTCTATGTTTGATAGCCCTTTTCTTATGTTGTCCAGAATCACTTGCAGAGTATGCAAGCTAATTAGGAGGTAAGAGGTAAAAACTACGCAATTTTTTAAAAAATTACATACCAACGTACATATATAACTCCAAACCGAACATTTAGTCAAGTGGTTGATGCATGATCTTCTGCTTAAGAGAACAGAGTTTAAATCTTCTTCCTCATAATAATAAAAAATATATATAATTTACAAATTGAGTCACCCCTGTACCCATTTATGAATTTATCCTGACATGTATTATATACCCTCAAGAAAATACTTTAGTTCTAACGTAATTTTTCATTAGAAAAGCCCGCTATTTCATCTGAAAAACATAAACGTTCGGTGAAAGTTGATATTAACGATAATGATCACCTGTGTCAGTAATTCGAAGGCTTTATGTGGATAGGCAATGAAAATACACCGAGCATCAAGACTACACTAGACCCTTGAGGATCCAATGAGAAAATGAGGCTTTGGTGCAGGGGTAAAGGAGTCTTTTGGTGCAGTGGGAAGGGATTCACACGGCTTTTCCAAATGATACGAAGCATAAAATTCTATCAGAAAAGCACTTAGATTTCTAATAAAACAAGCATCAGTCCAATATTTAGTTGGAATTTGACCAAATTTTATAATTATAATTTTTTGACAAATAATTTCTTTTTGAATAAAGGTAAACCGCAAATCACACTTCCTAATCTTGCTTGGAATAGTTGTTAGGATTTCAAAATACATGTTTCTCATGGATATTAACCTGTCTAATTACACAATATTTCTAGCAAACTTCATGTGCTTCATAATACTCTACCAAATAAGAAAGCAACAAATGATAAACTTACAGTAAACGGTCTTTCAGCATCAAAATCAGGATTGCGGCAAACTGTTCATCAAATCCGTGGCTTGCTACACATCTGAGTTAGAGCATTTGCAAATAACACAATAATTTTCAAACTGGGTGACCCTTGTTTAATGTTGTGAGCGATGTGGTATGTATCCTGCTGTTCAGGGGTATGTAATATTTCATATACACGTATCCTTCCATAACAAATAGGTCTTTTTTCTGTCTATCCCTTTCTATTCTGAATTTGGGTAAACTTCCTCTCCCACTTTAAGCCATGAATGAGCGTCCAACCCAGGCCCATTAACAGGATCATATCTCAGCAAAATTCCAAATAAAATCTTCCCCTGAATCAATAAAACTTAATATCACTCGCATTGCAGTTTGGAAACCAAGAAAACAACAGCTATCAATAGAGATTATTATAGCTAACCTTCACTCTCCTGTATGATGCTAGAGTTGCCAAAGGTTCATTTGTCTTCTTCACTTGCCCTGTTTGATGATAAAAATTGATCATCTGGCAGCGGTTGCAACCGCCTAATGACTGAGGAAGAAATAGTTATTCAGAAAGACATTTCATGTTTACAGCATATAAGTTTACATTTATTAGCTTTTTGTAAGTGATGCATATTTCCTCTAAACTAGTAAAATAAATTAAGGCTAGCAGCTTCTTCCTTCACATGATCAAATTTCCATGCCTTCCTTCTGGTCCCAAACACTGGTTATTAACCGATAGGTTAATTTTTCCCATGCCCATTTCTTGTTTGCTAGCTCCTGTTATTCTGCCTACCCTCAAATATACAAATCTACATCATACAGTTTGGAGGGTATAGGTTGAATAGAAATTGCAAGGTATTGCTGAAACTCTAAACGGCAAGCAGTAATGACTTAAAGGGTGTAAAAAACAACTGTGAACAGATAAATAAGCAATATCATCTGAGTTGGCCAAACTCTTTATCTGCCAGTCCAAATGATATAGGAAAGCAGGTGAAATACCATTAAAGGTGCAGAACTTACAGTAAAATATGTGTTCCCAATTTTAAGATTTCTCCATCCATCTTCAGCATATGGTTCACCTCCAGATATGACAAGATTGGGCCGAAATCTCATTGGCTTGACATACAGTGGGGCACCACCAGAGAGTTTTTGGGTATCTGTTATCGCAAAAAGAGTCGGTAGATGTAATATATCATTTAAAGAAGAGAGAAAATAATTTATCTAATAAAACTGACGTCGAATTCTGAGAATCCATTAGCATGAACACTGACACAAAAGCTGTGATTTAAACTGACAATTATCCATTTGCTAATATAGATATCAGTATAAGAATCTAAAATAGAAAGTTTGTCAAAGTTGTACAAGAGTATTACGAGAGGCATAATGCATCCACCATAAGTATTATTAAACAAAATGAGCTTGCATTAGTGTGCTACTTGTTGGGGTGGGGGGAGGGTTGAATTAATCTAACATGCTTAAAAAAGATATCCCAGAACTTTTTTACATGCAAAAGTCATTAGGAAGGAGAAATATCCATCAAATAATATGGCACAAGCTAACACAGTCATTGACATAGGAAATTCAAGAGTATAAAGAAGCTTTATGTGTCTTAAGCTCCTGTAGACTGTAGATTTCAAGGTGAACCAGCAGAAAAGTCGAGATAATTAAAGTAGTTGAATGATTCCATCATGCAGTAAAATACCACCGGATGCAAGGTGTAACCTTCGATTTTTTAGCAAACATGATTTCACAGAATGATAAAATTTGTCAAAAATTGAATTTTTTTATCACTGGGTTTTACACAACCAGGGAGAGGGATGTTCACTAAAATCATGATGAGCCTACATTGAATGCCAATTTCAACTTCTTTTATGATAGTAAAAGAGCTCACTGAAAATCATACTTGAGCATAGTCTGTCGTTGAGGTCAGATACACTCTCCTCAGAAATCAATAAGAACTGAGCTTCATTTGCAAAATTCATCCTGCTGTCCACATCTCTGCACATGCCCATACTTCTGTTCTTGTTCAAAGATAAGTAATACTGGGAATGGCAACATCGCACTAAAGTGCAAGGTTGACCAACAGCATTACTAAACCATTGATTGATTTCATTTTCATAACATTGGACTTCATATCTGATAATCAACAAATAACCAATATGTTACAATATAACAGTAATAGATATGGTCAGAACCTTAGATCTATGACATTTGGATACATATAAAAAAGTAAAAAAAAAAGTATTCGAACGTATCTATAGCAGATAAATAATTTTGCACTCCAACATTGGATATTTGCAATATCGACCTTTTCTTAAAAAGTGTCTCACATTTATGCATGTTACCATATTGTTGCTCATAGATGAAAATGAGTCCATACTTAATGGTCTTGTATTCTTTCCTGCAAATAGAATAAACCACAAACTCTCATTTTCACTTAATAGCAGTCTCTCAGTATTGTTAAGAGACAACAAAAAACCAACTAAAAACTATTTAAACTCTGAACCTCTAATGCATTTTAGCTCTTTCAATGGAGCTTGCAATTTGATTTTCCATATTGTTCCATAAGTTACCTTAAGATCTTTAAGCTATTTCTGCCTTCGACATGAGTAAAGTAAGAACTATAGCCTGTTTTCAATACTAAATGGCTTGGTTTGACCAAGCCTCTGTAATTTCAGAATCTCCCATATCAATGACTTACGTCAAACTCAAACAGTATCCACTTTTAGTCCTAGATTTCTTCAAACAGCATCTACTTGTTTACTTCTAGTCAAAACAATTGCTAGTTTCTCATATTCTTGCCACTTCTCAATATATAGGTCCAGAGAAATGTTTCTAGATGCAAAAACTAACTGAAATATCATGTAGACTAAGAATATTTGGAAAGAAATGCATCAAATTTAGAAGACAAGACAGACAATAAACATGCATCTTAAAATATTATCGACCTGTGTATTCACTTCATTTAGGAAATTTGATGCACACACAAATGGGATTTTTCAGCAGTTCTACCAACCCACCATTTTTTATAAATATGTATAACTAACAAGTACTTTAACAGAGAAATCTAACCGAAAAACCTTTTGGACTGTGAAAAATAATTGCATATCACATTCCAACCTATTAATTAACATAATAATAACTAACAAAAATCTAGATTCATTTGATCATATCACACCTTTGGCTATGCAAATAAAATTCTTCTTTCCCACAAAGATATGAATCAGAGTCTAGTTTGATCTGCAATTTCCCTTCACAACGGGGTGACTCTACAGACAACATCTTCTGATTGAGGTTAATAAAGGTATTAATGAGGGACATTTCAGGAACCTACAAAAGAAAATAGGATAAATTAAAACTTTATATTAAAAATCAATATCGAAAAACAAATTCGTCTCCAAAAATAGATACTACCGTACATTAAGTTTTTTTTTTTGAAAGAAAACTGCTAAACAATCTAATATTTATTCATTGACCATATAATATATATACTGTCAACTCAATTTTATAGAACAAATATTATATGGCATATGCTGTACACCAGCTAGACATAATTTTAATTGGTTCTAGTACAAGGCTCATTATCTTCATTTAGTCGTCCAGTCATAATATGTTCATTAAATGGAATTCTTTCATCAACACATTCCATGTCAACTAAGTGAAGCAATCAGAACACTCCATCTGTCCCAAATTGCTTGTTCCTCTTTAAATTTCACTGAGTTAAAAAAAAAAAAAAAGCTTTGACTTAGTGTAATTGATGTTAAAATTTAATTTTTTTTATATAAAATTAATGTTCTATAGTTTTTAATTGAAAATGTTAAAAAAAATTCATGAAAAATAATTTTAGAATATAAAAAAAGTAAGTTTTAATGTTCAAAAAAGGAAAAAAGACAGTTTTGAAGCATTCCAAAAAAGAAAAATGGACAACGAAAATGGGTTGGAGGTGAAAAAGAAAAGTGTGAGATATTTTAGTTATCTAGTATCCATTTGTCCTTAAAATGAAAGCATAAGATAGAGGGAAAAAAACAGGACCAAAGAGATTGTTAAATGAGCTTTTTTCCTCCATTTCAGTCAGTCAGTTTACTTGATGAGCAAATCCTTCCGAGTTCCTAAGTTTCCTCCCAACAAAACAATGGAAGCCTTCACCCCTTTTACTTTTAGACCCTTCAATTCTAACCTTTCCAGTTATATTTTGTTTTTACTAATGACATGCATATCTCTAAGGAATGACTTTAAGGAATGACTCAATTATGTTAAAATAGGTCCATGCAATAGCTGTTTTAGGACTGATTCTTTTAACAGCTCGTACCAAGCTGCTCAAGCACAACTTAGTCAATAGATTTTAGCAAGCTCATCAAAGAAATAGCACATCTAATTGTTTTAAAAACTAAGTATCTCTAGGAAGAATATTCTCTGCGCAGGGTGTTAGCCACCTTATTTTTCTTCACATAAAATGTACCTAAACTATTAACCAATAATTAGGAAAAAAAAACATAAAATTACAAAAGCAACAGCATGCAAAGGCACACAACTCTTCTAAGCAGAGAAATTATTCACCTTCTTTTGTGTAAGAATCTCACCAGTCAAGCTTTTAAGAAGCCATTCTCGATCATATTGCAGACCTGCATTGATGGGTAAATAATGAACAGACCTTTTAGCTCCATATGTCATAAGACAGAGAGAAATCAAAAAGCAAAGATCATCTATCCATGCATGCACAAAAAGGACCAATGAGGGATTCAACTACTAGATCTAAAAAAGAAAAGCATTATTTATTTTTCATTCAGAACATAAACAAGTTTGGCCAAGATGTAAGACCTCTTACTATGGCAAGCGTATGTAGATTGCAATGCTTCACCGTTAGTTTTTTTCCTTTTTGGCCAGTGCTTCACTGTTTGGTTGAGGTATCATATTTTTATTTATTTGCTTCAGCAATGTTTAGTTCCTACTTAATCCTATTGCAATTAGGAAATGAGTAGGCCTCAATTGAACCATAATGATAGCATGGTATACCATTATCAAAACAATGTAGAAATTTGTGTAAACAAATTAGGATGGTAAGTGATCATAAAGATACAGCGTTCTCACCATGGGAAAGAGAACAGTTTTTTTAAAAAGAGAAACTATGACATAAAAACATAAAAAATCATCAATTTAGTTGTAACCAATTCAGTTTGAGCTTTATTTTGAATGGAAGGAAAAGAAACAAACCATATTGGTTTAACCATATACCAATGTCCAAACCATAAAGATAAAAGGTTACCTGTAGTGCTCAGAGGCCAACTTTTCACACTGAAACCTGCGCATGATTTTATTGGATAGATGGTGATGGACTTAAGGTAGCAACCAGAACTTGATAGTCGGTTTTCAAAGCCTGCAATTCAGAAACAACAATATGTTATACCACTCAAGCAGAAAAGCCAATAGTAGAACATGTACATAAATTTTGTTATTTTGATTATCATGGGACTCCACGCCACACGATTAGAGTAGCATTTGATGCCATTAGTAACATTAGGTGCAAAATGATGATAGGAAAAGAAGCCCCTCTTAAAGAAAAAAAAAAGGATGTGAAGAACGATGCAAAATGGTCCCTGTAAAATGACAAATTAAAACAGTAAAAGCATCACAGTTCCAAATAAGAAGATTCAATGATGAATCCATGTAAAATATAGTGTAAATATGGAGGAGCACCATGTGACATTTTTGGGTGTATCTACCATGGGCAAAAGTTTAGAAAATAGAAGATTATTTCATTTCTTTTACTCAATATTCTATGGCCCACAAATGGTTCAGGAGAAGTCAGACAACTAGTTATTTGGAGACAGTCGCCAGTGCAGATTTTGTTTTTGATCATTGTCTTGACTTAAGATTTTCCCCACTCTCCCTCCTCATTGTAGCACTTCTCTAGCTATGTCTTCTTTCTCTCTTGTATCTTTCTTCTTTCTGTTAGCTCTTTTCTGTTTATAATAATAATAATATAGATATCTATGATATTTAAAATGAACTTATAGTTGTTAATAATATTATTTTAATAACATTAAATAACATTAGTTTACAGTAGAAATAATTTTCCAATAGAGAAAAGGAGAGCTTGCAAATCTAACAAATAAGCTTCATTTCATTGGAAAATATAGTACCAATAAAAAAATTAAAATAACCTTCTGTCGGATATGGAACTGAGTTTGCTCGGAGCAGATATCCTTTCTCAAACTCACTTGGCATTGATACAAAGGAACTTCTTATAAAATCAATAAATTTCTGCATAGTGACAAAAAAAAAAGCAACAACTGTTATTAAATACTATCAAATGGAAAGAATGTCAGAAAGATCCAACAAATATATCCCAACATGTTATTATCTATGGCAACCACAAAACTAAAAATCAACAGTCCCCACAGAAGTTCTAACAGAGTATTGTTCCTTTAAAGTAGGAAATTCCATGTGATGTAACAGCTGATGCATGGACCAGTAAAAGAAAAAAGAAGAGATCTATCTTCTGGAATAGAAACACAAGGGTAGAGCTCACAAGATAGGAAAAGAACTACCTTGGCATCTTCATAAGTTGACATGTAACCAAAAGATACTCTAACAGCTCCAGTTGGCTTTCCATTTATTACATCTTTGTCATCCCAGCAAACATGCCCAGCCTGAAACCAAAGCAAGGCTTATTTTATTTCTTTCAACTTTCACTAAATCAACAAAGTCTATATATCTCAACCACTACAAAATGGCACAACAATTTTGAAGCAGCCAAAAGAAAGGCATACCTCTAGGTTAGAAAGAAGATCCGAGTGGGACAAGCCAAGATATTTAGCACAAGCACCAGGATTGCAAAAGCATCCTGTCTACAACAAAATAGCAAGGGAAAGACAAGAAATTTCGTCACTAAGCAATTAAGAGCAGTGCAGTCACTTATATCTTTAATCTTCCCTTAGATCAACAATCACCAGTTTCCTAGAACATTGTATAAGCAGGCATCAGATAAATTGATCCAGTAGCAGAAAGCTAGAAAGCTGCCTCATGTTATTACAAAGCATTTTGTGGATATGAAAGGTATTTGCATACTTTCTGTTAACCAACTACTTTGTCAGGTTTGGAATATTTAGGACAGAAACAAGAAAAGAAAAAAAGGAAGAAGAAGCACTTTAGCAAGCAATAAACCAGAGAACAAATCACTATTTGTTTATGCAGGCACGCTTGCTCTAGACATTTGTCAGAATTTACCCGTAGTTGAATTCCAGATAAGGATGCCAATTTTTCCACCTCCCGATATCCAAACCAAGAGCCATCAGGTCTTTTCACGTTAAATGATACGATAGAGCCAGAGTCACTACTAGAAACCTACAAGAAGAGTTGCAAAACATTACAGTTAATAATTCCAGGAAAAGAAAAAGGAAAAATACTAGCAAAGAATGAAAAGCATGAACAGAGCACCTTATACCCTCAAGCTTCATACATCCAAACAGACCAGGCTAAGCAATTTTAACAAAAAAATTTATACTGGAAACCCACACACAAAGTAATATGCATTACTCAACCTGAAATGGTAATTATAGAACTGTTTATATGGCATGTTTCCAGATGGAATATTGACATCCTTATTAACACAAATGTACTTGAAAACAAAAACCAAGAACCAAGGAACATGATCAGATTCCTATCTTTTTTCTTCTTTTTTTTCCTCATTTTGACTGTATCTAAGGAAGTGATAACATGCTAGAAGTCATGCTTATTTGGAAAAGTCAAGTTTATATACTGCTTTAAGTTATGTAGCTAACCTTGAGAGTATGATTGCCATAAAGTGTGCAGACACTTGCTCCATTTTCATGTCGCAAAGCTAAGAGCTTCTTCTTCAAAAACATGACAATTGACATGGTATGCCTAAAAGAGAAAGGAGGAATGGGAGGGGAGGGGGACAATATGTTAATAGGAGGCATTCATGTAAATTACTTTAACATGCTATGCAAAATGAAAAACAGTATTACCACTAATATCAATCAGAAAAGGAAACAATAAGATAATGTACAAAGGAAAGCATTAAATGGCAGAGACACATTTATATGTAACCCTCTCTAAAGGGAACATTGATCACGTTCATACTGATAAGAAAATAAAATCAGAAGCACATTGCGGCATGGTTAATGGACACAAAAAGCAAAGCACAATTATACTCATGCACATCCAACATGAACTGTAACACAAAATAAACGTGGAAAAGCATGATCCACAAATATTCAGTTATAGAAATGCCAACTTTGGCATTCTGCATTTGATCAGAATCTTAAGTTTTTGCAAGAGGAAAGAGTAATCAAACAAAGGACCCTCAAATAATTATATAACCATGTAAGGGAGACATAAACCCAATTACATGAACAAATAGAATAGTAAAGTCATGCAATAAGAAAGTAGAAACATTCCATCATGCAAACATTCACAATGATGTAAGATATGTATACAAAAATACACTTAAAACTTCATAACCCTAATAAAATCTTCCAACTTTTCAGTGTTATAGAAATCAATTTTTGCATACCGATGCATTGCAGCTGGAGTGAGGTTATTGAATATTTTAAATCCATGACAGATAGATGCTATGCTAAGGAATGAAATACTGCCATCTTCAAAATTCTCCTCAACACTTTCTCGTCTTCTGACAAAGTCAATGTCAGCAATTGAAGCAGAAACAGTGCCTGTGAAGTTTATAGTTAACTAACAAAATAACTACAGCATATATAACCATCAATAAGACCTCTAGGTACTAACCTCCACTAAAATAGGTCTTCTTCAATAACTTAGCAGCATCTAAAAGAAAAGAAAAAAGGATATTAGAAAACCATTTTAGAAAGATTTCTTAAAATTTGATGTACTTAATCAGGATTTGTTCTACAGATTATGAAAAGAAAAAGAATTATAAACGAAATGCTGAAAAACATTGTGCAAAGGAGATGACAAAATTCATTATATCCATTTCTTTCACAACTCATCTAGCCTTTACCTTTCCAGACAATTCTACCAGGACCCAATTTGAAAATCAAACTACTATTGTCAAAGGTGATCCATATTTTCATAAACAGTAAAATTAGCCCCGATTGAATGGCCAACAAATGAATCATAGTCTTAACCAGTCTAGATCTTTTATGGCAGAACAACTCGTGCTTAAGAAAAAGAAGGAAAGTCCACACTTACAATCAAAGAATTAAAAGAATAAATCAATGTGCTTAATGAAAAAAGATTCTTTTTTTCATTATTACAAGCCAATTAAGGAAAGGCACATAGCAACAATATCTGACGGGATCTATTCTAGTATTGTGTACAAAAAACTCCTAACACAACCATTAGGGTACAACTTCAGAAACCAGAAATCTACAGACTCAACTGCTTACCATTCTTGATTATGAGAGCACCAAGTCCAGTTGGATAGCCAAACAACTTCAAAATAACAATGCAAAGGCAAAACAACATTTTGTTAGATTAGTTCCTTCTGAGTCTCTCCCCTTTCAGGACAAAAAAAAAGCTAGTATTCACCCACTAGTAAAGCTGGAAAGGTCTCAATATTTACCTTATAAAATGAGATTACAACAAAATCAGCAGGATAAAGTGACAAATTTGGAGGCTTTGTTGCAAAGCCCTTTGCAGCATCAATTATGACCATCCATCGTCCCCTAATTATAGAACAGTGATGATTACCAAATCTATGCTACAGAAATGGACAGAATCAATGCTCAAAAATTAATGTCTAAAAAGTTATATAGGAAAAGCACATTTAAAGATAAAGACTTCAAGGAAACATTAACACATTTAAAAATAATGACTTCAAGGAATCATGAGAATCTTCAAAGAAGCAACAATACTGTTATAAAATCTATTCTAATTCATTAGGGCTACAAACATGCATTTAAACAGCACAGCATACTATCAGCATGGAATATGGGCGTTTAGTTATCTTGATAAGTTTTAAATTAAATAAAATTCTTGATCTAGAGTTTTTCTATCAGATTGGAGAAATTATTAGGTTTTATCAATTAAACAAAACTCTTCTGCAGCTTTTCCATTTACATGATTAGTAATACATTATGCACCACATGGTCTAAGTAGGACCAAATTTTCAAAAGTTATCAGGCAGCTTGAGCTTCAGGGCAGTGTTAAGCTATAATTCTTTACACTTCCTCATACCTGTAATGCCTTTCTTACAAACAACAAACATGTTGGCACCAGCTTTGGTCTTTGTTGCAGGAAGCCACAGTTACATTAGGCATTGTAATGCATTTTTAGGAGCAAAATTTCCACACAAGATAATTTCAGCGCTTTTCAGTTGTTATTTTGCTACTTCCTTCTTAAAAGATTCTAAAGAGTAAGAGCAAAGAGTAAAAAGTCAAATAATATTTGACTAAAATATAACATATTCAAACATACTTGTGCAATTTTCTTGCCACAGGAAATAAGCCCATTTCTGCAACAGCTACCACTCTTAACTCAAATTTATTATTATTATTATTATTATTATTATTATTATTATTATTATGTTTCTTTTGAAAAAGAAAATAGCTAGATTAATCAATAAGACAGACCTCCCAGATGGAGAAAATATTCAGGCTGATATGCCACCCTAGTTAACCGTAGCTGATTTTTAGTATAACTAACAAAACCTATTTAGTCAACTGAGATCTAAACTAAGCTACTGATTAACCAGGAGAAAAAAAAACAATGGGGCAAAGTATCTTATTGACTGAACTTAATGAGATGAGAAGCTCAGGAATCTGTAACAATTCAATTGAAAACCAGCCAAAACAAGCCCTTTTCTAAAGGTGATTAGCAAGTTTCCTTCAGATTTTGCCCATTTTGGTTAACCATAACTGTTTTTTTCTCATTTTGGTTTGTGGGCTCCAAATAGAATTGCATAGAAGGTGCATTTTTCAGATCAGGCAGCAGCTATTAGTGGCAAAAAGCAGACAAATTTTATGCAAGATGCACAGTATGAAAACTACATACTTTGAATATGGAGAGCCTTCCAAAATTTTTTCTGTATTTTGCTTAACATTATTCACCAAATCAAGGCTAAATCTCAATCCAGAGAAATTGCACTCAGAGGGGAAGGCAAATAAATTATAAGCATCACCTGCAATAATAAAAAGTGAAATGACACTAAAGAGTGGTAAGGACTCCAGATGATTCCCTTCTTTTAAGTTATTATTCTAAAAACAAAAATGTATTATCATTATTTCAAAAACAACACTCCCATTTTCTTTAATCATGCTACAGGAAACACTACTGAAATTCTTTTGGAAGTTTTCCACAGTATCATTTTTCATTCATCAAATATATCAGTCAAATTGGCATCACAAGGAGCCCAATATAGTGAGCAAAAAATTTCCAACATGCAGTCAACAATAACAACCAAATTGTCTTCACAAGGGACTCGATATAGCAAAAAAAAAAAAAAAACACAAAATCCCACACTTAGAAATAAACAGATTACACATACAAAAGGAAAAAATTTAAACAGAATTAAATCTCCAACTATGACAATATCCTCGAATTGATTATAGACTAGAGATGTTTCATGGGAATTTCGCTTACTAGACCACAAAATGACCCCAGTATAATTTAAGAGTTCAGTTGAAGCTGGAAAATAGATAAGAATAGGGTTTCTAAAGAACTTACATGGTTTGGTATGGATAAGAGTAGCAGTGTATGCAAAATAAGAAATAGAAGAAAAATGCAGTAAAGAAATCCTAGAGACGACTTCTATCAGTCTGACCTATATTAAATTTAAGTTTTAATCAGTAAAGTAAGGCAGAATAGAGAGAGAGAGAGAGAGAGAGAGAGAGAGCATGCGTCCCAAAATCTTACTCCATCAATTTTGTTCATAAAGCTCAATTATTAAGGGATTGGGTTTCCCTCCATTACTTTTCTATTTATTACTTCCCAACACACCCATCACCACCATCCATAGGCATAGGATCCACCCATCAATTGTGGAACCCATACCTATGAATGTTGATTAAAAGTGTATTAGAAAGTAATTGAGACAAAAGTAAAAATGATTAAAGGTGTAAGTCTTAACAAACCTGAAGGTAATAAACTTCCTAATAGCAAAATAGTACTCAATCATGCAAAGTTTACAGACTTGAAAGCCACAAATTCATCCACCAATCATGATGATTTGCAAATGCATTAGTTAGAGCAGTCAAACTTCAGCAGATTTTTTAAGGCACACTACTAGGCCAAGGACCTCTAAAAGTGTTCCAGTAATCCAACCTCGGAGCAAATGAACTGATCTCTTCTAAAAAAAATATATTCTTGATTGACTATCTCCTTGCCATTGGTATTTGTAGGAAAACACTTATTTACAGTTGGTTGTAATCTTGTAATCTGTATATTTATATATTTGTATATCTAGAATTAAGTATTTGTATCCCTAGAATTAAGGACAAAAAATTAAGGTAGACAATCCCTCAATTATAAGATCAATTTTAGGAAGATTTAGTTTACTAGTTTATCCACTAGTTAGTTGTATATAAACCTAAGGTGCTTGTATAATTCTTTATGAGCAGTTTTTCAATATACATTTAGTTTTACTCTTAGTTTTTCACACTGTTTCATTTCTTAGTTTTTCCACACGATCTCAGAGCTTTAGGCTCTTTTTGAGAAAAAAAATTTTTCAGCCTTAATTACTTAATTCTATTTCAAGCCTTCATAGCCAAATCTTGTTAAATCTTTTAGTCTTATTTTTTCCTTCTTTGGCCTTCATTGCCTAGAATCATCTCTGATTAAACCTTTACTATCAAGACTTGTTTCAGTTTTAAGAAAGATAACCATGCCAGAGATAGCAAAATATGCCACTACTACCCGATTTGAGGAAGTGAGAACTGGTAAAACCACCAAAGTACTACAAAAGTCTCAGGAACAAAGAGAGTTGGACAGAAAAGAGATAGAGAAACTAAAAAGCCTATTAAAAACTCTTGAAAAGCCTACTGAGATATGTTCTTTAGGTAAGGTCTCTAGTTTAGGTAAAGCTCCTGGTTCTCATGGATTAAATATCTCAATTACGCCTATTATGAGTTCTTGGGTCATTGACTCAGGAGCCACAGACCATATGACACATTCCTCACAAAAGTTTAGTACATATACCTTGTGTCCTAGTAATAAGAAAATTGTTGTTGCAGACGATTCACTTACTACAGTGGCAAGATTAGGAGATATTCAAATTAATCCCCCATTTGTGCTTAAAAATGTTCTCCATGTTCTTGGATTATCTACTAATCTAATATTTATACAAAAACTTACCAGAGATATAAACTACAAAGTGACTTTTTATCTCTCTTATTGTGAATTTTAGGACCAGAGTTCAGAGAAAGGATTGGACTTGCTAAGGAGAAGGATGGACTAAACTATAGAATTGGACTTGCTAAGGAGAAGGATTGACTAAACTATCTTGAGACACAAGTAATATCAAGAATAGTTTAACTTTGTCATTTCTTTCTAAAAAATCTCCCAGTAAAGACAAAATCTGGCTTTATCATTTCCATCTTGGACATCCTTCTTTTGGAACTTTGAAAAACATGTTTCTTTCTTTGTTCAAAGGATTAAATGCTAAAAATTTTCATTGTGATGTTTGTGAACTTGCAAAGCATAGACGTGTGTCTTTTTCAATTAGCGATAAAAGTTCTACTCTTTTTTACTTGATTCATAGTGACATATAAGGTACCTCTACAATTCCTAATATTTCTAGTGCAAGGTGATTTGTTTCTTTCATAGATGATTGTACTAGGGTCTCTTGGATATTTTTACTTAAATCCAAATAAGATGTGAATAATGTGTTTTTTAGCTTCTAAAACATGATCTAGAATCAATTTGGAGTAAAAATCAAGAGATTTAGGTCTGATAATGCAATAGACTATTTCAACCAGAGTTTATCTACCTATTTCCAAAAGGAAAGGATGATCCATGAGTCATCTTGTGTTAATACTCCACAAAAAAATGGAGTGGCAAAGAGGAAAAACAATCATTTACTAGCCACAACCCGACCTTAACTTTTTCAAGCATACGTACCCAAATCCTACTGGGGGGAAGCTATTCTCACTGCCACACATATTATAAATAGGTTACCTTCAAGGGTTTTGGGATTTAAAACTCCTATGGAACTATTCTCACAATTCTATCCCAATTTTAATACCACAAACAACCTCACACCTAGGATATTTGGTTGTACATCATTTGTTCATATTCACAGTCACAATAGGGGGAAGTTGGATCCTAGAGCAATTAAGTGCATTTTTGTGGGATATTCATCAACTCAAAAAAGGTATAAATGCTATTATCCTCCCATCAAAAAATTTTATGTGTCTGCAAATGTCATTTTTGAATAAAACAAACCATTTTTTACTCAACCTTATCTTTAGGGGGAGACTTCATTCATGTAAGATAAGGATAAAGACTTCTTTTTGCTTGATTTGTCCTCCTCTCCAATATTTTCACCCATTAATTCTTCTGAGTCAAAGCCTATTTCTTCTAAGTCTAAGTCAAACGCTGAATTTGAGTTTGAACCCATTCCAAACATACAAGATGTGACAAAGGATAATATTGTTCTTGATTCTATAAGGGAAATGCAAGTGTACTCAAGAAGGAAAGTTCCAGATTCTTAACCAGTGCAAGTCCAAGAACCTAATCTGAATTCCGGAAATGAGGTAACTACAATTTTTGACTATTTCTCAAAATGAGCATGAATCTCCTAAAACTATAACTAGTGATATGATTTGCCTATTGCCATTAGGAAAGGAACCAGAGAATGTACTAAGCATCCAATATACCCAATCTCTAATTTTGTGTCATTTGAAAAATTCTCATTATCTCACAAAAATTTTCTTGTGAGCCTAAGCACTATTTCTATTCAACTACATTATTTGAGGCATTATCCAATGAGAAATGGAGGCAAGCCATGAAAATAGATATAAAGGCCTTGGAGAAAAATAAGACATGGGAACTGGTAGAGTTGCCTAAAGGAAAAAATCCAATTGAGTGTAAATGGGTTTTCACTATAAAATACAAGGCGGATGGTACTGTTGAAAAGTGTAAAGCCAGGTTGGTAGCTAAGGGCTACACTCAAACTTATAGAGTGGATTATCAGAAAACTTTTGCTTCAATTGCCAAGATGAATATAGTTAGGATTTTGTTATCATTGGCTGCAAATTACAATTGACAACTTCAACAATTTGATGTAAGGAATTCTTTTCTACATGATGATTTGGAAGAAGAAATATATATATGAAGGTTCCATCGGGATTTGGAGGTCATCTAGAAGCAAACAAAGTATGCAAGCTGAAAAAGACCTTATACGGCCTTAAACAGTCTCCTAAGGCTTGGTTCGGGAGATTTGCTAAAGTGATGCTAGCAATGGGATATAAGTAGAGCCGAAGAGAGCACACATTGTTTATCAAGCACTTTGATTCAGGGAGAGTCATAGTTCTATTAGTGTATGTTGATGATATAATTGTAACAGAAGATGATGAAAAAAATAATCTCTAAAACAATGTTTCGCTAGAGAATTTGAGATAGAATAGCTAGAGAGATTGAAGTACTTCCTAGGAATTAAAGTAGTTCACTCAGGGCATGGTATTTTCATCTCACAACAGAAATATGTGATGGATCTTCTGAAGGAAACTGGGAAGCTCGCATGTAAATTTGCAAATACCCCTATAGATCCTAATCATAAACTTGGAGAAGCTAATGAAGATGCTACTGTAGATAGAGAGATGTACCAAAGATTAGTTGGAAGGCTCATTTTTCTCTCACATACTAGACCTGATATAACATATGCTAGAAGTGTAATAAGCCAATTTATGCATAGTCCTAAAGAAGTCCACCTACAGGCTGTCTATTGTATATTGCACTATTTTAAGGCCAATCCTGGGAGAGGTATCTTATTCAAAAGAAATTCGAGGCTGTTCTAGAGACATATATAGATGCTAATTATGTAGGTTTAGTAACTAATAGAAGATCCACCTCAGGCTACTGCACTTTCCTAAATGGTAATCTTGTGACTTAAAGGAGTAAAAAATAGAATGTGGTGGCAAGATCAAGTGCTAAGGCATAGTTCAGAGCAATGGCTAAAGAAACTTGTGAACTACTATGGTTAAAGATTATCCTAGAAGACTTGCAAATCAAATAGGATGGACAAATAAGACTCTACTGGGATAACAAGTCTGCAATAAGCATTGCACAGAATCCTATGCAACATGACAAAACAAAACATATTGAAGTAGACCAGCATTTCATAAAGGAGAAACTAGTCAGTGGGTTGATTTGTACACCGTATGTATCAACCAAGGGTAAACTTGCAGATGTGTTTACTAAAAGTCTCAACAATGCAACATTTCAAGCAATTATTTGCAAGTGAAGAATAGAAAACACCTATTCACCAGCTTGAGGGGAAGTGTGGGAAAACATTTATTTACAGCTAGTTGTAATCTTGTAATCTGTATATTTATATTTGTATCTCTAGAATTAAGTATTTGTATCCTTAGAATTAAAGACAAAAAATTAGGATAGACAATCCCTCAATTATAGGATTAGTTTTAAGAAGATTTAGTTTCCTAGTTTGCCCACTAGTTAGTTGTATATAAACCTAAGGTACTTGTATAATTCTTTATGAGCAACTTTTCAATATACATTTAGTTTTACTCTTAGTTTTCCACACAGTTTTATTTCTTATTTTTTCCATAGTATTATCATAAAGTGAGGAAGAAATAGTATTATTTGGTTCAGGCCAAATACTTTCAATAAATCCATACAAGTTTTGACTCTCAATGAGCCCCATAATCTGAACTTGCAAAGTAAATAATTTGATGGTGTTAGGTGAATGGAAACAAAATTTCCTACATTAAAGTGATGAAGTGTAAGGATATTTGGTATCAAAAGAGGAAGCTAACACAAGGGAATCCATAGTGATTAGAAAATTAAGAAAGACAATATTTCTCTGTACAGCTCTGATATCGGTAAGAATTTGAGTATGAGGTTTTAAAACTCACTTGATTTACAACTCTTTCATTTACAAATTTATAGGCATTTACATAATAAAATCTAATCTAAAGATTTCTTTGTTCACTTTCAAAAGGCCAATATTCCATTGTTTCAGTTGGCATTACGTGGCCTTAAAATTTTGCAAATCACAATGATTGGTCGATGAATTTGTGGCCTTCAATTCAGGAAACTTTACAAATCAACCCACCAAAATATAAACCAGATTTAAATAAGTTATCTAAGAAAATTAGAATCCTATCACCAAACTGACGTCGGTGTAAAGATCCTAGTCATAAAGTTTTAGCTAAGGGCTTCTGCCAGCTAAAATATCTGGTGTAGCATCCACCAATGGAGGCCCAAATGAATATGAAAATATTAGTTATTTCAGCCTGAACCATTTCTCTTATATGTATCTTTAGTTTTCATTTAAAATGTTTATCAAAAAGTTACCTGTAAGCTCCCCTTCCAAAACTTCAGCTTCATTTCTTCTCTGTACCGGATACTGTGATAACTTAACTGAAGTCACAGAGTTTATAGATGCTCCATCCTGATCCACAGCCTCTTTTATATCTACTGCAAAAGCTGCAGCTCCTTGATTGAGAGCATATCTTTAAATTTCTAAGCACAAACAAAGTTATAGATTCAAGATTACTAAGAGAAGGAACAAGAATGATGATCCTATTCAGCCATATAGTTTACAAAAGAAAACATACTATAACTAGTAACTCTGTGGATATAAGATGGATCTAGAAAAAAAATCATAGCATGAATGCAAAAGCCATAGTATATACTAGTACACCCAAAAATCAAAGTAGGCAAAAACTAAAGTAGTGGTAGGATACTCTCTAATACCAAGTACACTATTATGATTTTCCATTGTGTACATAAAGGTGCTCTGACAGCTCCATGGAAAGTTCTCCCCTATAAGCTTCAGTGCAGCTGTTGCCCCAGAAGTGAATATGCATTTATAATCCTTTGGAGAAGCATTACAGTAATCAAGGACCTATATATCAAGAAAAATAAAAAAATAAAAATAAAAACATAAAGGAAATTATTGATACCACAAACAATAAAAGATAATTTACTTGCAAGCACAAATCAAATTAGACCACAATTATCAATATCTATGAATTACTCATTTATGACTTCATAGATGATGCAAAACCAGGTTATTTGGAATCTATGAATTTTAAAACAGAACTTAGCAAAGAACCAATCAAGAACAGAAAACAGAAAAAGAATAACTTTCATCAGTCTTGGAAGCAAGTATATAGTACCTGTTGGCGTGCTTCCCTTACAATGTTACTAGTGGCTGAACTAGAATCACTTTGGCTATCTATATTCAAATCAAAGAATTTCCACTCGATACAAGGCAGTCATAAAAGAAATAAAGTTTGCAACAAAGTTTCCATTTTTAAAAAATTATAAAAATAGTCAAGGAGAACATAAGGTTCTTTCAAAAAAAAAAAAAGTACAGATCCATATCAGACCTCATATTTTTCAAGCTCGTGTAAGAAAATACAAAATTGACCACAACCGAGAAGCAACACTAGTAAGCTCAACATTTTCAACCAAAAACACCCACCAATTACCCGAGTTAATGTGTTGTAACAATCGAAACAAACCAACACAGTACTGAATGTATTTCCAAGCATGGGTAAGACAATACTGACCAAAGCAGATTAACAGAATTAATATCTAGCTTTTCGGCAAAAACACACCACTAATTACCCGAATTAATGCATTATAACAATCGAAACCAAAGTAATACAGGAAGGATATTGCTCAAGGGTTTTCGCTCGGTGCTTTAAATAACTCAATATCATATATAAAATCCATTAACATCCAAGAATCATTGAATAAAACATAAGAACAGCTCAAATTTCAGAAATTTAAAGCTATACAATACTAGTTTTCGAGTTAATAGGATACGGGGATTTCCATAAACACTAGTCGTGAGATCTTTGAAGATAGATTCCATCTGCAACTCGGAGTAAAGGGTTGCTCCGGCATGGTCCAAATACACCGTATCTACAATACCCAAAGCTCAAAATAACTAATCGAAGTATCCAAAGCATTCAAATTTTATATTTAACTTCCAAAAGTTCAATTATTTCTTAGTTGGCAACATTAAAAGGAATATCAAACATCAATAAAAAAAATCCCAAAAATAAAAATTTAAAGAAAAAAAGGTTAACCCTCTAATCGCTTGAACTCGGTGGCGCGAATTTCGTCAATGGTTTTTGGGCCGTTGGGGTAACCGTAGTAGTCACCGAATTCCTTGAGAAACTCCTCCTTGTCTTCCATTCGATAATAATTAAAAAAAAAAAAAAACCTTGCTGGGAATTTTGAGGCAGAGATGGCGATGAATATTGATGTAAACCAGCAAAAATATTGGAATGAGGTGGGGATAACTTTCGTCAAGTTCTTTTTTCAGGGAGAAATTGGAAATTTTAATTTGATTGGATAATATTTGCAACACGTTGGGTTTATAATTTTTTTTCTAATAATTTTAGCCTTTGGGTAGGATTGATAACGATTCGATCAGGCTTCAGACAAAAATTATGTGCACCACTTTGAGTTTTCGAAATTAAACTTAATTGCAATATTAACTGATTCAAGATCAGTTTCATTTATTGATTTTTAAATTTTTGATTTTTTATATTTATTAATAAAATATATAAATCGTTATGAATAATTTTTATTTTAAAATTTATTAATCAAAATCGAATCAAACAAAAAAAATTTTTATTTGACTAGTTAATATCATAAATAATTATTAAATTATAATAAATATTTAATATAATATTTCAATTTTAAAAACTCTTAAAATGATATTTAAATTATGAGTATGTTAATTAATATAGTTTTCAAAGTATTATTTATCCATCATATGTTATTATTTACAGTTAATCATGTTAAAAATGAGTATTATGTCAGTTAATAAATTCATAATTTTAATATTATATTAAAAATTTTTAAAATTCATATCACATTAAATATCTCATTGTAATTTAAAAATTATTTATAATATTAATCCTTATGAAAATCGAGACCAAGTTGAATATATTTAAGGTTGAATAAATAGTGATTCGGTTAATTCAATCGTAAAATCTGAATAAACGACTTAATTTATTATAAAAAATAAACCAACCAATATATATATATATATAAGAAAAATAAAAAAAATCAAACTGAATTAAGGTGATTGATTTCGATCAATTTTCTTAGATTAGTAGGTTTTAGTTTTTATTACTTATATTAAGTATATCTATATCATATATTTTTTTAATTATTTATTTTATATTAAGTCAAGTATTTTAGTTTATTCAATTTAGATATTTTAAAATTGAAAATCGATCGTTTTAACCATTTAAACCGAAATAATAATCGAAATACCCATATAACCCAAATTATCCAACCTAATTTCCCTTGAAAATTCAATTTTTTTCAATTTTTTCAGTTTTAACCAAAATTTGCTTAGCCCTAATATATCCAAATATATCCATACTAGATTTTTTTTGTTTTTTTTTTCTCTATCCTACTTTAATGTCTATCTCTATTATCTCATTTTCTTCTAAAAATATGTCAATACTATATTTTCTTAACCACTTCATTATGGTCAGTGCCATCAAGCCTTGGTTGCCATGTTTGCTTGTATTTTTCTTGAGTTTCTTCTTAAAAGAAAGTATTTTGAAATTTTTATTCCAAGAATAGGATACTTTTATTCTTATTTCTCACAGCAATGTACTTTTTGCTGTAAAAGTACTTAATCACCACATTAGCACTTGTCTTATCCCTAATTCTTGTTGTCTTTTCTCCTTCTGTTTTTTTTTTTTTTCTCAATTTTCACATCCACAATCATTTTGATTTGAAACTATCATTAAAAAAAAAGTAGGATTTCAATTGATTAGCAAGATTTCAATTGATCTCAAGTTAATTAAATCAACGATAAAAATCAACTAATTTTTAAAAAATCCATGTCTTTTTATAACCCCTAAAGGATTAGACGAATCTTTATAAACCAATTCATATTTTACTTCATCTATATGGCTTTCACCATTGGAGCCAAAAGATGATGAGTGATCTTTTGCTTTATCAATGTGATGGATCTTAAAGAGCCAAATTCAATTTGGAGCTGGTTGAAGGTTAAATACATAAATAGTCTTTGAACTTTATACTTTTTGTCACATTAGTACTTAAAGAATAAAAATTATTACATCGGTACCTGAACTTTAATTCTATAACTCAATTTACACTAAAGCTTAACTCCGTTGGAAAAAAAAGCTAATATGTTTTAAATGGTCAATTAAATAATACTGATTGTCATTAAAATTTCATGTCATATAATCGAATTTTCACACAGATATCAATTTCAGACAAAAAAATTTTAACCCTTTTATTTTTTAACTCGAGATAAAAAAAATAGTTTCAAAAAGCTGTTTTCTGTCAAAAAAGAAAAAAAATTTGTTGGTTTAAGAACACAAAAATTACTTAATAAACAAAAATGGATTAGGTTTTGAAATTGAGTTCTTGTAATCTTCCAAACTATGAGATTAGAGTGTGGTATTTAGAGTTTGAAATTTGGGGTTTAGGGTAATCAATTCAAAAATTGCGATTAGATTGAGGGTTTTGTGTTTGAAATTTGGGATTAGGCTAATGATGTAGGGTTTAGATTAGTGATAGTGTTGGTTCAAAGTTTGAAACTAAGACATTAGAATCGGTTGATAAAGTGAGAAATTGATTCAAAAACCAAAACCTTTAGCTTCAGATTTAAGAGAAGGCAAATTTCAAGTTTGTCCATATAACCCAAAATGTATTTTGGTTGGATTTGATATTGGTTCTTTTTTTATAGTTTTTGGTCAATTGAATGTTGTATTCTAATATTATTTGTATTAAGTTAGGTTATGTGATGCTGTACTATAGATTAGAAAATAGATTTTCAATGTTTAAGGTTTTTATGTTGTTTTTTTAAATTGTGACAGAGGCATTGTCTTCCTTTGTTTTATCTTTTTAGGTTTAGTGTTACTTTTATTCTTGTTTGCTTTGGGGGACCTATTTGCAATATACTTACCTATACTAATGCAACAATAATACTAATAAAGATAATAAAATATACTTATTTTATTAATTTTTTATTTGAACAAGATAATGGCTTGGGTATAATATGCATTATTTATACATTTGCATGAGTACTTTGTAAAAAGCCCAGTTTGGCTTATATAGGTAGGGATGTGCTTGAATGGTTTGTTGATCTTAATTATTTATCTTATGAAATGATGACTATGGTTGAAGAAGCTGAGCATGCTATTATGAAATGCTTTTCTTTTCTTGAACTTGGACATGAGTTACAGATTTGTCTTAGGGTAATTTGTGATAATACATTATTTATCATTATGATAAACTATATGACTAGTGTAAGATAGTTACACATTTATATGGAGCATGGGGTTTTTATACCTGAAATTATAGAATTAATCCCTAATGTACGAAATATGTCAAATGTCTTAAATGTGGCAAATGGGATAGGTGGTAGTAGTAATATTGAAATAAACGAGGAAGTTGATGCATCAAATGTAGTTGGACCACCTAGTAGTGTTGTAAATGATGCACCAATAGGTTGTGATCAAACATTTAGTGCTAAAAATTATGACAATGTGCCTAGGAATGATGAATTAGAAAATGATACAGCTACTAAGGGTGACAAAAAATTAATAGGCCAGAGAAAGTATATTAAAAAGTGATATGTCTAGTGAGGATGAGTTAATTAATGATAACAATGAAGAGCTTATAAATGATAAATGGGTGTTTGAAAATGATGATGATGAGATAAGATAAATAAGGTAAAACTATAATGAGTTTAAGCAAAAAACAAAAAAAAAAAAGTTTTAAGACTGATGATGTTCTAGTTAAGATAGATTTTGAAAATATATTAAATGAAGTTAAGAAAAAGAAGAAGGTTGTAAGAGAAGAAAAAACTAGAGCTACAGAAAAAAAAAAACAGAGAAGGTAATTATAGTAGAAATTAGACAGATTATTTGAAATTATCCGACATTAGTAGCTATAACAATGACGGGGACAGCAATATGGTATGTAACAAAAGCAAAAAAGTTTTCTTTAATTCTTCAGATCCAGTGCCTAGATTTAGACTTGATATGATATTTAATAATAATAAGTAATTTAAAAAAGTTTTAGGCAAATATGCAATGATGAAAAGATTTGATTTTACGTTACTTAAAAATAAAAAAAATAAGATTAGAGCTACGTGTAAGACAAATGGTTGTCCATTTCTGATAAATACCGCAAGGATAATAGTGATGGTTGGTTCAAGGTTAAAATATTAGTAAGTGATCAAGAATGTTTCATTATTTTTTTTAAACTTAATAACTAATTATAAGTTTATAAAACGATATTTTCTTAGTAAGTTGATAATCATTCTAAAGTTAAAATTGCTTAAGGTGCAAAAACTTACTAAAGAAGAATTAAAAGTTGATATCAATATGACTGTTTGTAATAAAGCTAGAAATTGGTCTTTGAAAAAGATAAATGGCAGAGTAAAGTATAAGTTCAATAAGTTGTATGATTATACACATGCTTTGAGGATGGCAAATTGTTAGAGTTATGTGGATCTTATAACAAAAAGGCCTACTCCAATTGAAATACTAAAATTTAGAAGATTTTATATTTGTTTTAGTGCCATTAAGGATGGGTTCAAGGAGTTTTGTAGGCCTATTATCCACTTAGATGGTTGTTTTTTGAAAGGACCTTTTAAGGGTGAGCTTTTAACAACAATTGATTGAGATGTAAAAGGCTAAATATATCATATTACATGGGCTATGGTTGAAGTGTAGAATAAGGACACATAAAGATGATTTCTTGAAAATCTTCAAGTTGATCTTGAGTTTCAAGATAAAGATGGATTTACTATCATAAATGACATGCAAAAGGTATATAAACTAAACTTAATGAGTTTTGTTAAGTCAACTTCTATTGTTTTTGAATTTCTATTGTAATTTTTTTTTATGTTTCTTTTTATGCAGGATTTGAAAAATGTGATAAGTGTCTTGTTGCCAAAGATTGAGCATAGATTTTGTATCAAATATTACTTTGCAAACTAGAAGAAGGAAAATTGAGGCAATGACTTGCATTTGTTGTTTTGGACATGTTGTCAGTCAACAACTAAAGTAGATTTTAAGAACAATGCAACAAAACTTGATACTTTGAAGAGATCAGCTCTAGTAAACATATTGAACAAAAACCTTAAACACTGGTGTAGAGCTTTTTTTTTTTTTTCTACTGGATGTCATTCTAATGTGGTAGATAATAATTTTGTTAAGGCCTTTAATGCTACTATTGTAAAGACTAGCATATGTTCATCATTTTTATGTTTGAGAAAATTAGGCACTATGTTATGAATAAAATAGTCAATAACAAAAAAAAATATGCGTCATGAAACATTTTGTTTTGTCCAAAGATTTATGTAAAGATTCAAAAAAGTAAAAAATTGAATGTCTATTGCCATGTTATATAGAATGGTGAAGAAAAGTATGAGATTTTATGTAATGAAGATACATTTATTATTGATATTAAGGGATGAAAATGCACATGTAGG